AGTGTATTGTTCAATCTTTTAAAAAAGATAGTTCCTACTCACATTTAGTTGTTTTCAACGATCCGGATTTCAGGCTGAAAGCTCATCATCAGGATGAAGGAACATCGTTTCTCGACATGAATTGTATGAGGGAACCTGCCGATACCCCCGCCAACGCGACGTTCCAATGACAAGCCTGTTTTTAATGCTGCTCAATTTTGAACGTGCGAAAGGGGGGATTACAAAGTATGTTAAACGTTATTTTTCCGCAATGCTGCGCGTGGCGATTGTTAGAACCAAAAATAGAACTATGACAGTCCTTGAAGGCTTGTTGTTATTTGTTTTAGTTTTCTTTTGTTCTAAATTGTAGGATGCCAGAAGTTAATAAAAAGGAAAATTAATCAACTATTTCATTCAAAATGCTATCTATGCACTCAAAAAGTACTAACAAATGACACGCTTCAATTCGTGCCTAACTTGTATCCTAACGTCTAAAGCCAGGAACACGCTTACCCGATGCTACGCCATGCGACGCTACCCGATGCTACCCGACGCCTTGCCACGTTTTGGTGGGGTGTGCACATCTATCCGACGCAAGCACACGTCGCGTACAGTCCACAGCGTTTATCACAATAATCACTATCACAATCGCAACGCATCTTTTGTTCTTAATGCACTATTTTGAGCAAAACCTTGTAATAAATTGTTAGTTAAATTTTATGAGCACAACCATCTAATAAATTGTTTGTTAAACTTAATTGTTTTAAATAAAGTTACTCCTAACCATCTAATTAAACAATATTTTTAAAAACTTATGCATTTTTGATCTGGTTTAATTTGGTTTACCTTAAAATAACATGTTGTAATTAATATAACGACAAAATTACATGTACTTAGATAAACTACAAAAAATATGAGTGTCCTGTTTTGATGCTACCCGACATTACAAAATGGTGTAATTTTACGAGCAAAACTATGAAATAAATTGTTAAATTGTTGTTTTACAAAAAAAGTCCATTAGTAAGTATGTTGGGTTCGAATGCAGGGCCTCTAGATTCGAACCCAAGACCTTTACATTACAGTGATAAGCGCCGTGTCAACGCCTCAAGCCGGGAACACACATACCCTATGCTACGCCATGCGACGCTACCCGATGCTACCCGACGCCTTGCCACGTTTTGGTGGGGTGTGCACAACTATCCGACGCAAGCACACGTCGCGTACAGTCCACAGCGTTTATCACAATAATCACTATCACAATCGCAACGCATCTTTTGTTCTTAATGCACTATTTTGAGCAAAACCTTGTAATAAATTGTTAGTTAAATTTTATGAGCACAACCATCTAATAAATTGTTTGTTAAACTTAATTGTTTTAAATAAAGTTACTCCTAACCATCATAATTAAACAATGTTTATAAAAACTTATGCATTTTTGATCTCGTTTAATTTGGTTTACATTAAAATAACATGTTGTAATTAATATAACGACAAAATTACATGTACTTAGTTTGAAATAAACTACAAAAAATATGAGTGTCCTGTTCTGATGCTACCCGACATTACAAAATGGTGTAATTTTACGAGCAAAACTATGAAATAAATTGTTAATTAAATTTTATTAGCAAAACCGTGTAATAAATTGTTCCAATTTTAGTAAATGTACCGCTGAAGCGAGTACAATAAATTGTTAATTAAATTCATTATATCAAAAAATCGTATTCCGGTGTTTTGATTAACGATTTTCTACCAAACCATTAAAATTAATTTTTTAAATAAAAACTAATTCATTTTTAATCACAGTTAATTTGGTTTATATTAAAATAAGTATGTTTTAATTAATACAACGACAGTAATACGTGTAGTTTGAATAAAAATATGAGTCACCGGTTCTTTTGTCTTCGACTGTACTCGATGCGACCCAACGAAAATCTGGACAGTGGGGATCGCAGAGCGTCGGGTAGGTTAGCGTGGCATAGCATCGGGTAGATGTGCCCGGGGGTAATGCAACCTTATGGAAAAACGGAGTTTGGATTTGCGTCGGGTAGCATCGGGTAGCGTCGCATGGCGTAGCATTGGGTAAGTGTGTTTCTGGCTTAACACTCATGAATGAGAGTATAGGGACAGGTCTGAAATTAACAAAACAAATGTATTGGTCTGATTTAATTAATGCGTATTTAAGAATAAAAATAAGTGTAAATAAAAAACAGCTGTTAAATTCTGGGACGCCGTGTTGGTTGCCTACTCCCAACGGCTAGCAATGTGATTTTCGACCTAACATCTCATTGGCCCTGGCCTGTTAGAATGAGCAATGTTATCTAGCCGATTCTTACAAATTTACGTCATCTCTCATCATTTTTCTCGATCTAATAGGACTTAACAGAGTTAACAGGGTTAACTTGGGGGCGTCGGTGGCCGCAACGGTTTAGGTGTTGACACGGCGCTCACGTACAAATGGGCTTTTTTTCAAAAACACTGGCACCCCGAGGGTTGATATAACCTTTGCTGTTGCGAACCCTCATAAAAAAAATAAATAAAAAAAAACAGGGTTAACACAAAGATCGTGAATACCCTATTATATTAGCAAATACTGTACGAAAATAATTACAAATTATGGATTAATTTTTTGTTTTTTGATTAATTACTACAAAAAATTAAAAGTATACATTAATAATAGATTAGTAAATTAATGATAAAATTAATAAAAATTAAATTAATTAATACGATTATTTTGTACGTCTAATATTATTTATGTACTTAATTAAAATAGGAGTTAAATCAAAATCTGTTACATTATTAATGCATTTATCTCCATGTTCAATCTAGTGCCCTCCCTTCGTTGAAAATATGTAACACTGTTGTATTTCAATATAAATTTAAATCGTGTTTTTGTTTCATTTAGACGGTCCTTAAATTCCGAAAATTAGTCCGATTTAGGCAAATGTTCTTTAACTCTCGTTTAATTTCTCTATCGATATGTTGCAATCATTTCCATTAAGTTGGTAAACCCCGTTTTTTGCCATGTTGTCATTGCTTGTCTTTAGGTTTTAAGAGGATGTTAGTTTCTAAGTGAACACGTACCTCTAAAAGCTATTCTAAAACCTTCTTGTTTAAGAATTTCACCTGATAGTTCTAACTAGCAACCCATCATTAAATATTTCTTGATATCCATTGTGTTTTTCTTTTTTATAGCTAGCGAGTGTTAATGGAAGTTGTAACACATACGGTCTATGAGCCAACTGAAAGTAGCAACTTTTTGGGTCCTTGGGTGAGAAGAATCCGCTCGTATCATAGTGTTAGTAGTTGCAGGTTTTCTATATACGTCTATTTCAATTTCATATTTCTGATGTTGACGAGACGAAGATACTTAACTACGAAAAAGCTCGCCTAAAAACTTTTTAACATTTAAACCTTGTACAGAACAAAGCCAAAAGCTCTGGCTTCCTTTTGGGTTCTTAAGGCGAATTTTAACGGAACACTATCAACCTGGCAGCTTAAATTTTGTAATCAATATTATCCTCAGACAGATGAATTGAAAAATTTGCCATTTCTTGTAAAACTCTCATAAAATGTTGATTTTATAAGAAAATCCGATTTTTTAAGTACAGCTCAGTCCAGTTAATCCGAACTAATTGGGAGCGGGCGCGGATTCGGATAAGCGGAAATTCGGATTAGCCGAAAATTTGAATGAGAAGGAAGCAGCAGTAAAAATAGTCAAATCGTAGATAAATCGGATCAGGTTTCACTAGTGAGGGATGAAAAATAAGCTGGAAGTTTGCAGAAAGCCTGGACAGGATGCATGTGTAATTTTTTTTCGTTTTTGATCATTTTATTTCGCCCATTTTCGCTATTTTGTTTTTCCAGATGCGACTCAGTTTCTCGCTTCAGTTTTCAATCATAGTTTGCATTGAAACATTCCACTCAGGATGGCGAGAAACTGAAACGCCTCTGTCTAATCAAATGGCGAGGAAAGACAGTCCAAAAATTATCGAGAACCACTACAGGTTATTACAGACATTAGGACAAAAGGAGGGAAAATTCAAAAAGGTGTGGTTGAGATGGGAAGTTAGTGTCCGAGTGGATCGAGGTCACGATAGCTCAAGTGGTAGAGCAGCGGCGCATCAAGCCGAAGATTGTGGGTTCGAATCCCGCTCGTACCATTGACTTTTTTATTTCAACTGAAAACCTTAATTAATTGTAAGTTATTACAGACAGTTGAGTTTAAAGCCATTATGAAAAAACCCTTCTGTTGGCCAACTCAGAATTGTTTTCTCGATGGTTATTTTTTTCTTTATTAACACGATGAAGTATGATAGTAGTAGTATGATGTATATTATTGGAGCATGAGCACCAAAGTTTCCGTTTAACTTTGCCTTCTCTATTAGTTGCTTCTTCCAGAACAACTCCTGCTTCCATTAAGCTGGGCGCTTGGGATGCACGAGGACGAGTACAAAAAAGTTTTTAGACCAGCGAGTAAGCCGTGAGCTGCAGAAGACTTCAAGTAAGTCCGATCTTCTAAACATCTTATTTTGTAAGTATTCACTAATTTCGTGGTCTGCTTGACCAATTAATAGCTTACAATTAATTAAGGTTTTCAGTTGAGATAAAAAAGTCAATGGCACGAGCGGGATTCGAACCCACGATCTTCGGCTTGATACGCCGGTGCTGTACCACTTGAGCTATCGTGACCTCGATCCACTCGGACACCAACTTCCCACCTAACAACATCTTGGGTTCGGATCCCGCTCGTGCCATTGACTTTTTTATCTTAACTGAAAACCTTAATTATTTTATAAGGTTTTTTCCGTCCGTTTATCTCCAAGGTTTGACAAACGAAAGCAATTATTGTTCATAGATTTTCTAGGACGCTAGAAAACTGTAGTTCTCTCACTGTTCAATTTGATTAATAAAAGAATTATAGATACATACAATAAATACAAAAATATATAAAAACATAGTTCGAATTTAAAAAATGTGTTGAAGATAACTGGGTTAAAACCAAAATTATGAGCTAACTCTTCTTATTCTTCATGCAAAAGCTGGTCTAGAAAAACCGTAAAAACAGTTTATAAATAATTAAAATATTTTTACTTGTTCCTGTTGCTGACATCGCCATAGTTAGGAGAGAGGTAGCGTAGGTCCCAATGCATGTAGATCCATCATGCAAGCATAAGTCTGCTGCCAGGAGCATACAGCTCATTCCCTGCGTTACAAAAAAATATCATTAAAATACAAGAGTTGTTTTTGTTTCGTTTTGTTACAATAAAAGAAGTGTGATCTCAGAAAAAAGAAAACCTGTTTATTATGCCGTGGAAAATTCAAGAATAAAAAAATCAACTCAGTGTCTCTTAACTATGTTATATTAGTTAATTTTTTTAAATTTGTTTTAGATTCAATTTATCTTTAACCCTTTGATTATTTGGCTTTAAGCAATGCTTATCCGTTTTTACTTACGGAAAGTGAAAAGTAACCAGTTAAACAAGAAAGAAAAATAATGTTTCTAGAGAGATGTGACAGAGGAACTTTCCAGAGTTTGCCAAAAAAAAAAGACGACCAACTTTGACGGTTTAATGGAGAGTAATCCACATTATACCACAGGGAAAGTTAGTAGAGAAGATCGGATCTGCGGCCAGTGAAGTGTCCCATTTGCGGAAACTTGGGTATGTCAGACCCTTCGAAATTCGGGCGGTCCAATCGTTAAACGAAAGACATAACAATTCCCCTTTGCAATCTTACAATCAAAAATTAACGATTTAACCTTTTGACAAGCGGCAAAAATTAAAAACAGATTTTGCACGAATTCATCGTACATTGACGTTAATTTCATTTTTAAAACAGACATAAATGTAGAAAAAGATGAGCGAATTAAAAAATTAATGCATGATAAAATATTAACATGTCTTTACTTGATGTTGTCCGCTCCATGATTATGATTTTATGAGATACACGAGTACCAAATTTTGATCAATGATGCACGCCGTCCAGTGGCTGGAGCTGAGTCAAAGCAAACGTTTTAATTATGCAATCTGTCGTTATTTGTTAATTGCGCTTACTAAATGGTGATAAGTTATTTAGGAAGATATTTACGTCGGTGTTTTCAAAACGCGAGTTGATTTTAGACTGGCTTCTTAAGCAACACCACCCGACGTTGACTCGATGACTTATCATCTTATCTTAATTCTCAGAATGGTGCCACTAAAGAAACTTTACGCTTTACGAAAGCTCGACTGGCAATTTCGTTCCCGAGATAAAACATAAGCAAAATTAAAGGATATTTTACCATGTACTTAAAATTGAAAATATTACGGATAAAGTAAAAACTGGCGACTAAAGTTTATACTGAATAAGTAAAAGACTATTCATCAAAGTCAGCAAGTTGAAACGTGCTTAAAAAATAAATTAAAATTATCTTCTAATTATTTTACTAAACTGCTTGATTAATCTTTTTCTTTCATGGCGTTTAGTTAATGATCTAAGTGGAGCTTCAACTATAAAAAGAATTTAATTAAAAAATTATATATTTTAAACAATTCAAAAGGGTAGAGACAATTTTTCGAGTTAAAATATTTTTTAACTTAAACTACAACCCTTTTTACATGTCCCTTGGGATTCCGTGTTTTTAAAGATCTAATATTTTTTGAAGATTGCGTCTCTTTAGCTCGTCTTTTTAAAAGATCGATAATATAATTTTAATATAATAATTATAATGTTCTATATCAAAAAACATCCAAAGAAATAAATCTATCAACTCTACGTTGGAAAAGAAATCGGTACTTCGCGACGTTTTTATCAAGTAAATTGGGCGGCAACGGGGAAAAAATCGAGGTAGATTTGTAAAATCGCTTCTCCTGAAATGTTGTAATTTTTCATACTTCGGTGAGCTTTCCGTCAAACTTCTTCATCACATCGAAACGATTGATTTTTTCATTTTGTATAGTAATGATAGGTAAATAATCGTTGCGAGCAATTATTTTAACCGCCCAAGAGTGGAGAAATAAATGTCTCTCTCCTTCTCACACTCTCTCTCTCTCTCTCTCTCTCTCTGATCCCCCATCAAACATTTAACCCTGTAAATTATTAATAGCAGTCAAATTATCAATAAATGTCCGGATGATGGGATATGCTTTCTTTGCTATGTAATTGAGAGTTTTCATTTCTTGTCTCTCTCTTACGCTCTCTCTCTTCCTCTCTTTCTCTCTCTCTCTCTTTAAGTAAATATTAGTCTTTTTATTATGAAACAAAAATATATATTCACACTCACACTAACACTCAAAATGATAACTTTACACATACCTAATGCCTCAAAAATTTCACAACAAAATAAAGTAATAATCTGTTTTTCATTTGAAAATCCATGTTTAATTTGTACTAACACAGCTTCAATTTTTGGCACGATAAATAAATTAAGTAAACTTATGTTTGATCATTGTTATTGCTGGAATATCAATACCATCAAAAGTAGAATTGTTGTTGATCTTCACTGGTTTATTTTTATAAATGCATGCTCAATGTATTTTTCGCTTTTGTTTTGATATCACACTATCAGATTTGTGTATTGTTAACGTTGTTGATTTGTTATATTTATTTCTTTAAGACACAATGAGCGAAGGACTATCTGAAAATATTGTAAAAGAAAACAAATATAATGTAAATATCGCTCATGTAAATGCTAGCTCTTTAGTTAGAAACTGGAATGAATTTGTTATTATGTTTGGCTCCGGGAAATTTGATATTATTGGGGTATCTGAAACTTTCTTAAAACCGAATTTGAATGTAAATTTGAAAAACCTTCCCGAATATCAGTTTATTAGAAATGATAGAACGGATAAAGGAGGTGGAGGAATAAGGGTATTCATTAAAAAAAATTATTCATGTAAAATCATAGACTCCTCTCCCTCAAATTACGACCGAAAGCCTGAATACCTATTTCTTCATGTTAGAAGAGGAAGTAAAAAGATATTGTTATGTATGATTTATAAGCCTCCAAAAATTGGTTACTTAGAGTATGTATTTACTAATATCAGCAAATTGATCCCTTTATATGAACATGTTGTTTATTATAGGCGATCTAAACTCTAATGTGAATAATGTAGCCTGTAATTATGAAAATATTCTGAAGAAAGAAGTTAATAAGCTAAATATAAAAATCCTACCTTTTACAAATACTCACCATACGTCAATTTCCGACACATTTATTGATTTTATCATAGTAAACGATATTAATATAGTAAAACATCATGGGCAAAAACAAGCTACAGGTATATCACACCATGACATGATTTTCTGTACTATAAATATTAAAACTAATAGACAACTAAGAAAAATAATGTATAGAGACACAAAGAGTATTGATGTGAATAAACTACTACTTGATGCTGAGCAAATGGATTGGAATCAAGTTTATGATAAGGCTAAATTGGATGATAAAATCGAGTCACTCAAAGACTTAATTACTGATCTATATTATAAACATACCCCATTAAAACTATTTTCAACAAAAAAAAAATCCGGCGCCTTGGATTAACAAAGATATTAAGGAATTGATGAAATATAGGGATAAACTGCATAAAATATTCAAAAGAACGAAAAGCGAGGATGATAATACAAAATATAAGAAAATTAGAAATAAGGTAAAACAAGTATTGAGAAATGCACAGAATAAATATCTTAGAGATGTACTTGATCAGAAAAATAACCCTAGTGACTATTGGAAAATCTTAAAAAATAATGGTATTATTAAAACAAACAAAAAACAATAAACCATCGAACATCTCGCTTAATGAATTGAACAAACATTTTGCTGGAAAAAATATTGAAATCGATATAGATTGTTTTAATAAATATGTAAAATTAGGAAGAGAATCGAATCTTGCAGAATTTAATCTAACAAAAATAAAAATAGATGAAGTGGTAGCTTCACTGAAAAGTATTAAGTCAAAATCGGTTGGTATTGACAATGTGCCTGTAAAAATATTACAGTTACTTAAAGATATTATTGCACCAGTTTTGTTGCATATATTTAATTTTTTTATTAGTATTAATACCTATATATAGAAAAAAAACAATTATAATTCCGTTAAAAAATAAAAACAATCCTATCAGTTGTAATGATTATAGAGGAATTAATATTATAGGTGTCATGGCAAAAGTATTTGAGAAAATTATATTTAGACAATTACAACAACATATTAGTAGAAACAATATCCTTAATGAATATCAATCTGGATTTAGACTGGGTTACAGCACAGAGGCTGCATTAATAAGGGTTATGCGCAGGTGCCCCTTATGCAGAGAAAGGTTGCTCGATGTGTCCCACATAATAGAGGCGTGTCATGCCTTGGCTCCATACAGAGAGCGTGTAGGCATGCCGCCGGATTTAAGAAGAGTCCTCGAGCACTGTAGCGAGTTTCAGAGTCCCCTGTTCCGCTTTTTAGGGGAAATTGGGTTTTTTATTGTATATAGTATGTCTTATGTGTTATGTGTCTATATGTTTTGTCTGTGTTCATGTATTTATTAGCGTGAATGGCGAGGGGTGAGGGTGAATATAACGTCATCACCCCTCGAACGATGAAAGCGAGTGATTGTGTGTTCGGGGTCGATGGCGGAATATTTATAAAAGTACCCCATCAACCCCAATCTAGTTTTGTTTATGTGTAGTTAGAATATCAAGTACTCCACCGACCAAAAGGAATGAGTGTACTGTATGGATGTATTTAAGTGTATGAATGTATTTATTTGTATGAATGTTGTGTTTGAACGGGTATAGAATATAGAATATAGACTTAGTGGGGGACTGAAATGACCTAGATGTCGGTAGCCCCAGCAAAAAAAAAAAAAATAAGGGTTATGGATGATTTAAGAAAAAGTATAGATGAAAGAATGGTCTCACTTTTAGTCTTAATTGACTTTAGGAAGGCTTTCGACTCTGTGCAGCATACTCTATTATTGGCAATCCTTAAGTCACTACATTTCTCCGATGGCACGATTAAATGGTTTTCAACATACTTGATAAACAGGTGTCAATGTGTTAAGGATGTAGATGGAGAGGTTTCAGAATGGACAAGGTTATTATCTGGAGTTCCTCAGGGAAGTAATCTATCAGAGATGCTTTTCATTTTCTTCATAAACCAAGTTTCACATGTTTTAAAAACGTCAAGAGCATGATGCTCGCAGACGACCTTCAAGCATATTGTTCAGATAACA